TGGGGGTCTTTAGGGAGGGGTTGGGGGGTCAGCAGAGAGGGGCTGGCCACTAAGGGGATCAGCAGAGAGGGGCTGGCCACTAAGGGGTCAGCAGGGAGGGGCTCACTTCTGGGGGGGTCAGCTCTAGGGATTTCGAGTCTTAAGCCAATCGGAACCCCTTGACCCCCCCTCTTCTGCTTCCTCTTTGTTGTGATCAAAACCCAGACCACCAAAACGGCCACAGGCACACAAATATACACATAGAAGTATATGCCATTTCATTTGAAGGATAGACTGCTGGCTGGGGAATTCTGGGAAATGAAGTCCCCTCATTGCCACACCACACTACAGATAAGTCCTCGGTCACGTCCGTCATAAAATTCAGCCACTTGGCAACTGGTTCATACTTACGACGGTGGCCGTGTCCCAGGGTCACATGATCCCCCCTTTTGCAACCTTCTGACCAGCAAAGTCAACGGGGAAAGCCGGATTCACTTAACAACCGTGTTCCCGACTTAACAACGGCAGTGATTCGTTTAACAACGGTGGCAAGGAAGATCGAAAAATGGGGCAAAATTTCATTGGAGAAATGTCTCGTTTAGCAACGTACATTTTGGGCTCAATTGTGGTCATGAGTCAACAACTACCAGTGTGTGCCATCAAGCTGGTGTGAAGTCTTAGCAACCACACCGATGTTGTACAGGACAATCTGTCTCCAGTCTGATTCTGGAGACTTCCAGTGGTTCCCCCATCCTAACCGAATCCGTCTCCCTTTCCACCTGTCCCAGCATCAAAGCCTTCTCCAGGGAAATGGATCTTCCCATAAAAGTCTCCAGAGTCGGATGATCGGATCCTGGTCCTATGGGACTTGAGTGAGAACCCTACCCAGATTTCTTCCATGACCCATTGGTCCATTTTCTTAATTGTCCTTCTCAGTGGCTTTTACTCCAACAACCAAGTTCAGAAGCGTCAACGCTTCTTCTTATCCTGCTCCCTCAAAAGTCCACCTAACGGGGATCTTCTCCCCAAATTCAGGAGAAAGAGAGAAGGTGGGGTCCGCCTCCAAAGTCCCCGGAAGTTCAGCTGGAAGGAGATCTTTCCACCTCCCAAAGAATAACAAAATAACAGAGCCGGGAGGGACCTTGGAGGTCTTCTAGTCCAACCCCCTGCTCAGGCAGGAGACCCTAGGCCAGGGGTAGTCAACCTTGGCTCTTTTATGACTCGTGGACTTCAACTCCCAGAATTCCTGAGCCAGCTCAGGAATTCTGGGAGTTGAAGTCCACGAGTCATAAAAGAGCCAAGGTTGACTACCCCTGCTAGACCATTTCAGACAGAGGGTTGTCCAATCTCTTCTTGAAAACGTCCAGTGTTGGAGCATTCGTAACGTCTGGAGGCAAGCAGTTCCACAGGAAATTCCTCCTTATTTCTCCAAATTGAACACTGAATCCTATAGTTGGAAGAGGACCTCGGAGGTCATCTAGTCCAACCCCCTGCTCAGGCAGGAAACCCTATACCATTTCGGACAAATGGCTGTCCAGTCTCTCGTTAAAAACTTCCAGTGTTGGAGTATTCACCGCTTCTGGAGGCAGGTTGTTCCATTGGTTAATTGTCCTCACTGTTAGGAAGTTTCTCCTTCGTTCTAGGCTGCTTCACTCCTTGGTGAGTTTCCATATCAAGATCCATTAGGAAATCCTTGGACATGTTCTGGTCCTCAACCAAGTGGCCGTTTTGGTCATTTGACGCTTGCCCTTTTGCTACCAGTAATCGGCCCGATGCTGCTGGCTATAGCTCAGGAATCTGACTTGATCTTTGATCTGACTGACCAGGAGCTGGGACAAGAGGATCCCGATCAGCTGCGCCAGTAGGGCAGGGGAGAGGAGACACAAACACAAACGACACACAACAGGAGAAACACACAACAGGAGAAATGTTCAGGCTGTCTCATCAGCAGGTGGGTGGACTAAAGGAGACCCCAACTCTCCCCCCCCCCACACTTTGAGTTGATCACCCGTACGAAGGAGAGATGGGAAAGCGTGGGGGGAAAAACAACCCCAAAAAATTGGGTGGAAAAGTTGTTTTTTTCCCCCCCCCAAAAAAGAGAATAATATCTGGGAAAAAAATCTCTTGTTTTCTTCCCAAATTTTCCAGGTTTTTTTTTCCGGGCCTTCCCCTCTCTACTCCAGATGGGAAACATGACCAGATGGAGCACAGATAAAGTCCTTGACATACAGCAGTTGCTTTAGTGGCTGCTCAAAGTTACAAGGCCCCTGAAAAAAAGGGACCGAGGACCCTTTTTCCACACTTACGACCGTGGGAGCGTCCCTGCGGTCATGGGATCTATACTTGGAGGCTTGGCAACTGACTATGACGGTTGCAGTGGTCAAATGGTCGCTAAGTGAACAGTCATATGTTGAGGACTAGCTGTAATTTGGACTGGGAGGCATCCATCCCCACCTGCCCTGCGCAAGGAGACCTTCTGGGTTGCCTGCAGTGGCAAAGGCTGGAACTGAGTCCTCCCCGTCTGTACGGGCCCTGAGAACCTCTGCCCCGGAGACAGATTCCTTGTGTCTCCCACCACCCTTGGCCAGTAAAGAATATTCTAATTCTAATTCTATTCTATTCTATTTCCTCTTCTCTTCTATTTTCTATATTCTCTTCTCTTCTATTCCATTCCCCTCCCCT